GGAGAAAACCTAAGCAGACACAGAGAGAACATGTCAACTGTGGAATCGCACCCAGGACCTTTTTGCAGCAAAACACAAGCTCCAAACGCTGTACCAAGCTCCAAACGCTGTACCAAGCTCCAAACGCTGTACCAAGCTCCAAACGCTGTACCAAGCTCCAAACGCTGTACCAAGCTCCAAACGCTGTACCAAGCTCCAAACGCTGTACCAAGCTCCAAACGCTGTACCAAGCTCCAAACGCTGTACCAAGCTCCAAACGCTGTACCAAGCTCCAAACGCTGTACCAAGCTCCAAACGCTGTACCAAGCTCCAAACGCTGTACCATGTCGCCGCCCTGATGCTATGATGACGTTCCAATACCATGAATGCTAATCCCAATTTAAAGGTCATCTGTGTGGAGCCATGACGCCCGTGACACGTCTGCACTTCTGTATTGCCTCGAAGTGACTTAATTGGAGATTCATGATGCATCTCTCTCTCCGCTGAGTGGGAGCTTGTCTTGTTTATCGCAACGCTGTCCTCAATCAGAGAATCAGGACAGGACGAGAGCTGAAGGAAAAGATGATGATGATCTGATCCATGATGCTTGAGATTCACAGTATATTCTCAGTGTTCCGTCTGATTGCAGTGATTCTATAAGACTGGTCCTGGCTCCTGCTGATCCCTCTTTGTGGTCCTGGCTCCTGCTGATCCCTCTTTGTGATCTTGTGAATCTGTTGAGACTGTTGTGATGTCGCACTGTGCTCTCAGCGTGGGCTAATGTGTGTTGGTCAATGTTTCTTTACCTTTGGAACTGTTCCTATAGTTTTCTGTGTATGTGGAATAGAGAGAAAGGAGAAAGCCGGAGTGAAACGTTCATATGTGAGGCAGAGAGAAGATGTACAGAAGAAATCAGACATGTTTAAAGAATCGTTATTGTTAAAACATTATTGTGCATGGGCTTCAGTTATCGGCTTCCTTTGCTTGAATAAATCCACTTTACAACATTAAACTTGTGTACTTGTACTCTGCTGTCAGACTGTACAACAGATCAGTCTGAGTAAAAAATTTGCACTATTTTTAGTTAGTTAGTTGGAAATGTTTCTGATTCTGATGTTTATAAATGTTTGTGGATGTGTTTTCTGCTGCTGGACACCAGAATCTCTCCTACAGGGATCTATAAAGTATCTATCTAAATATCTATCTATATTTACTACTTCAAACCACCACACTATTTATATTTTATGTTAAACAAAAACCATTTGGTCTTACTTCAAAAACTGTTGCTTCATTTTCTTTTTCCTGGGCAGACGATGCATGTTGTATGTTTTTAAAAATGTGAAGCACTTTGTGATCTTGGTCTGTGAAAGGCGCTATACAAAAACACTTTACTTACTTACTAACTTACGCTACATTATATACTATTTGTTTTGCCTCATTCACCTCTGGCAAAGCAAGGTATTTTTTCATTAGTTTTGTGCATAAAGCCCCATAAACGCACCAAAGGTCTCATCAGAACTGTCTCAGCCACTGCCCTGTCCACATGTAGCAGTTTATAGATAAGATGGCAACGCGCTTATCTGTAGGAACGGGCTTATAGGCAGTGGCTCTTGGGCAGTGCGCAGCGGGTGCCACAACACGTCCCACCGCAGATCTACTCAAATGTGGTGCGTGTCTTTCAGACGTTTTGGATCCAGAGTTTCTCTGTCAAATCACGGACACTTCCCAAACTCATACGCATCCTATCCCTCTCACGGAGATTGCTCCATTGCATTCATAAGAAGATGCAGACACTTCAGCCGGTTAATGATGAGAGCCACCGCTGAGGCCGAGATATTAATATTCATTCATTCATGTTTATTTATTGATTTACTTCTAAAGTTCAAGAAAGATGAGTGCTGCAGTGGGTCTGGACAATAGGGAAAAAACACGTATATATAATATGTATTTCTTTTTAAACAAACATGAATAAACTCAGGAGTGCGTGGCACAGACCTTTTGAGGCTTCCAAACAGTCTTCCTTTGGCCGACTTCCTGCTGAGCTGTCGTAAAAACGAGGCGTGAAATAAGGCGGTTTCTGAACATTTAAAGGCGTGACTTTCATAAATACGCTCGTTTTCAGCGCAGTGCATTCGCTCAGATCTGTGCGGACCTCACACGTTCATAAATCCCACGTTGGACCTTGCGTATTTGGAATCTACACCAAAAATATACACCCTTTTCAGCGCAACTTTCCTAAAGGAGGACCAATGTGCTCAAATTAAGAAACAATTTGCCATATTATTTTTTATCACTTTTTGCAGTGAATAAAATAATTTGTTTCCTGTTCCTTGCTCCCCAAACGTTTGATACCAAATCTTCTGGGTCTGTAGTGAGACAACACAACATTGTTCCCTCATCAAAAACAGACCTTGAGTTGTTTTTAGCTCCATTCATGCTATATCAGGAACTTCTGTCACCTCCGGTTATTTTGTCCAAATGCTCCAACAACTATGACTATGATGAAACTGAAGACTTTCACATCATGTATTTTTGGCCTCGTCACATTTTTAGACCAGCTTTAGGCAAGGCAAGTTTATTTGTATAGCACAATTCATACACGAGGCAATTCAAAGTGCTGAACAAAATAAGAAAGCATTAAAATCATAAATAAAAGAAAGTATAAAAAATATAAAATCCCTCAGTTGTATGCACAGTTAAACAGAACTGTCTTTAACCTGGTTTTAAACATTGTCAGAGAGGAGGCCTGTCTCACATCTTCAGGAAGACTGTTCCAGATGTTAGCAGCATGAATCTGAAAAGCAGCCTCCCCATGTTTAGTTCTGACTCTGGGCACTAACAGGAGTCCAGTCCCTGTGCTCCTCAGAGTCCGGGCTGGTTCATATGGGACTAACATGTCACTAATATATTTTGGTGCGAGGCCATGGAGAGACTTGTACACAAGCAGAGCTGTTTTAAAGTCTATTCTCTGAGCCACAGGAAGCCAGTGCAGAGTCCTGAGGACTGGACTAACGTGGTCGTACTTCCTGGTTCTAGTCAGGACTCGAGCTGCTGCATTTTGAATGTTCTGCAGCTGTTTTACAGCCTGTTTGGACAGACCTGTGAGCAGGCCATTGCAGTAGTCTAACCTACTGGAGACAAATGCATGTATAAGAATCTCCAAGTCTGCTTTAGACACTATGTTTTTGATCCTGGCAATGTTTTTTAGATGGTAAAAAGCTGCTGATGTTACTGATTTGATGTGGCTATTAACATTTAAGTCTGAGTCCAGTATTACCCCTAGATTTCTGACCTTGTTTGACACCTTTAGGGAGAGGTAGGTGGCGGATGACCCGCTCTCTTTGTTTCTGGGGACCAAAGACAATCATTTCAGTTTTGTCTGCGTTTAGCTGAAGGAAGTTGTTTTGCATCCACTCACTGATCTGTTGGATACAGTGAAGGAGTGAGTCCACTGGTCCATGTTCTCCTGCAGTCAGTGAGACATAGATCTGAGTGTTTCTGCGTATTAAATGACCTAACGGCAGTATCAAGAGATTGAAATGAAGCGGTCCCAGGATCGACCCCTTTAGATGAATTAACTCTCAGTCTTCAATTAAAGATTCACAAGGCTCTTTCTAACAAGTATGTAAAATATATCAATAACTAATTAACTAACTAAGAAGATCTATTTTTGTTCACAGCATTTTACTTTTCAATGTTGGAACAAACATGTATTATTCAAGTACTCCAGCTTATATTTAAAAAAAATACACACATAATCAAGATACAATATTAGACCTTGTGATTGTGGATAAGACATAATTATTATCCTTTCTCTTTTCTCAAACCCCCATAGCTCAGGTCAAAGTGAGTTATGTTTGAGTGGTTCTGCTGGAGTCTGGCATTGAACTGTCACAGAATCAGGTCAAAGTCTCAAGATTTTTTTGTTTACATGTAAGACCCAAGACCTGAGAGTCACGGGTCATTGACTCTGCACAAAGGGTTGAATAAAGCTTGAAACAGCTAAGGCCATTAAAAGTATTTAGTCTGTGTAAATACTGTCAAAGTAAAATCACAGTGTTGCATAAAAAAAAAATCTCTGATTGTTAAAAGATAAAGTGTGTAACCATGGATCAGGACTAATTTCCGAGCTTTGTCTTTTACGACTTACTTGGTCCCAGCGGGGGGACCTCTTTCCGGGTGCCTTCAGATGTGCGCTGATGAGAAAGTGAAGTAATAACAATCAGTTCAGCTCTGGTAATCCTCTCTGACCTCTTGATAATGAGTCAAAGTTTGTCTTTCCAAACTCTTTTCCAGATAAAACAGGCTCAATCTATGCAGTTATGCATATGCAGTTTTTTCTTCACCCAATCGTGTCCTAATTGTCATTTGTTAATAACCAGATTCACTCAAATGGAATGATTCTAAAGTGAAAACGCCAAAGACATTGAAAAACACAAATCAGACAAATCAGAGATACTACATTATAATACATAATATTTTGACAATAGCTGCGTCTGGTTCAATCACATGTTAGTATTACCACACACATGTTAATGTGACGTACAGTGTGTGTGTTCGCATGTCACATCAGCTGTGAGCCTCGCCACATCCATCCTGCTTCTGGCATGATGATGATGATGATGATGAAAGATGTTTGAGAATCAAAGATGAAACGACTCCTCGTTCTTCTGCATTACGCGGCAGTGCAGGGGTGGCCGACACGCCACTCAATGTAAATGTGATTTATGATTGATGTGCACAAGCAAACCTCCTTTAGTAGGTTTATGTACAGTGGTTTTTATTGTAAACAAGAAATATTATTTTATTTTTGTTTAAAGTGAAAGAAAAATGATACACTAACACAAATTATACAACATTTTAACAGCAAAAAAAACCCCCCAGAAACACAAGAAAAGGACAAGAATTCAATTCCCCCGTTTTTTGTTTTATTAAATGTACCATGCCAAACAAATGAAATAAAATAATCATATTAATTAAAGCATATTTTTTTTATTGAATAGAAGTCTATTCTTGACAATATGAGCTGGAGGGTAGTGACATTAAGGCGCTCACTCTGGTTCTCTCTTGTGGGTGTGTCCTTTCTGCTGCTGCTGCTGCTGCTGCTGCTGCTGCTTCCCCTGCTGCTGCTGCTGCTGCTTTCCCTGCTGCTGCTGCTGCTGCTGCTGCTGCTGCTGCTTCCCCTGCTGCTGCTGCTGCTGCTGCTGCTGCTGCTGCTTCCCCTGCTGCTGCTGCTGCTGCTTTCCCTGCTGCTGCTGCTGCTGCTGCTGCTGCTGCTGCTGCTTCCCCTGCTGCTGCTGCTTCCCCTGCTGCTGCTGCTGCTGCTTCCCCTGCTGCTGCTGCTGCTGCTGCTGCTTCCCCTGCTGCTGCTGCTGCTGCTGCTGCTGCTTCCCCTGCTGCTGCTGCTGCTGCTGCTGCTGCTGCTGCTGCTGCTGCTGCTGCTGCTGCTGCTGCTGCTGCTTCCCCTGCTGCTACTGCTGCTGCTGCTTCCCCTGCTGCTTCCCCTGCTGTATCTGACCAGGTACGAGCTGCTGCACTCCTGGGATGTTGATGTTTAGACAGTGGTTAGACGACACACTTTTGCTCTTTCTCCTGACTCCTCTGGGCTGACGCAGGTATGATGCTGTTGGGGTCAAGTGATGTTTTTCCAACACATATATAGTCCTACAGTGTTTTCTCCGAGTGGCTGTCCTGCTGTGCTCCTCATGCGGGTTAGACTGTCACCTACATCTGAGTGCAGTGGTTAGCATTGGCATAATAAGGCAATGGTCATAATAGAGGTCTAAAGTGTGTTTCACGACTAAGCGAGGGTGAAGTCTTTACGTCCAAATCTCAGGTAAAAAATCATATTAATATAGTATTTTTCTTGTAGTTGTTGCTCAGCTGTGGTCCCCATGAAGCCGGCCTGCCGGTCCCCTGCTCCAAACAGTGCAGTGGAATAATGCCAAGGATGAATAATAAAATGTCCTCATTAGCAAACTAAATCATAAATGTCTTCACAGCTGTGTAGGCATATATTTAACCCACTTGTCCTACTTTCATCTAAAGAAACTGGGTTAAAAATAAAGCCACATGGTATGGTCACTAAAATAATGATCAAGAACAAATGCAGAGTCCTAAAGTGGATCTTATCAGCAGTCCTTCCTGTGTGGCAGCCCTGTGTGGCAGCTGCTGCACTTCTCCTGGGAATGGAGGCTTGCATGGTCTATTTGTGAATGTCCTATGCTCACTATATAGTTTTTTTCAATTATTATTGTTGTATTAGTTTATCTGAACGGGCCAGTACTCATTAATCAACATTGCTGTAAATGCATGTGTACCGCCACTATTCAAATAACTAAGAGACCTGAGCAAAGTGCGGTCCGGGGGCCACATGCAGCCGGAATCACGCTTCTTGGGACCTTTTTCTATCCACAAACTGCCTCCCTCTATTACTATGACTATCCGATGAAAGTTTGCCACTTCTTGAGAGCTGCAATGGCACGTTTTACCTCATAATATTTCATCAAAAACATTCATCTGTCCTCAATATTTAGCCTTCTTTAGCTTTGGTTCAATCCAAGCAAGAATTCAAATCTAAAGATAACTAAAACAATAATCCATATTAATGAATACAAAAAATCCTCAATGTCCTTCCTATTTTGTAAAAGGTTAAAAGACAATTTATACAAATAAAATTATAACATGGATTTGTTGTTACATTTTTAACAGAAATAACTCGCACAGCATTCTACTGCAGAGGCTAGAATGTGATATAGGTCTTAGAGGAACAGCCCTTGGCTGGTTTAAATCCTATTTATCAGATCGGTATCACTTCGTCAACGTAAATCAGAACTCGTCACCTTTTTCTGGAGTAGAATTCGGTGTGCCGCAGGGTTCGGTACTCGGACCGATTCTTTTTACTCTCTACATGCTGCCATTAGGAAACATTATTAAAAAGCATGGAATTAATTTCCACTGCTATGCAGATGACACACAGCTTTATCTGTCGATGAAGCCAAATCAGACAGATCAGCTAGAAAAGCTTAGTGCCTGCATAAAGGACCTTAAAATGTGGATGACTCTTAACTTCCTACTTCTCAACCCGGAGAAGACAGAAGTGATCCTACTCGGTCCGAAGCGCCTGCGTGACACCCTCACTAACCAGATAATTACTCTGATAATGTCAGTATTATACCCAGTAACACTGTGAGGAATCTTGGAGTCATTTTTGACCAAGAACTCTCCTTCAAGGCTTACATAAGCCAAGCAACTAAAACGGCGTACTTCCACTTACGGAACATCGCTAAAATTAGGAATTTCCTTCCTAAAAGTGACGCGGAAAAACTCATTCACGCGTTTGTCACCTCAAGGCTCGACTACTGTAACGCTTTACTGGCAGCGTGCCCTAAAGCGTCTTTGAAGAGCTTCCAGCTCGTTCAGAATACAGCAGCTAGGATCTTAACAGGTACCAAAAGGAGGGAGCACATAACGCCGGTGTTAAAATCACTCCACTGGCTCCCTGTGGAGTACAGAATAAAGTTTAAAATCCTTCTCTTAACATATAAAGCCATAAATGGCTTGGCTCCTTCTCATCTCCAAGACACGTTAGTGTCGTATCAACCAAGTCGAGCGTTGCGCTCACAAAACGCCAGACGTCTGGTGGTCCCTAAGGTCTCAAAAATCACTGTTGGTGGCAGAGCATTTAGCTACCAAGCTCCTTTACTGTGGAATCAGCTTCCCATTTATGTTAAGGAAGCAGATACGGTCTCCACGTTCAAGGCCAGGCTTAAAGCACTTTACTTTAATTTAGCATATAATTAGGTAATATATAATATATGGTGTATATATTATATATATATGCTGTATTATGTTGTATATTATGTTATATATTATACAACAATGTATTGTGTTATGTTGTATATTATGTTATATATTATGCTGTATGTTATGTTGTGTATTATATATGATATATTTAATACACAATTTTTTTTTTTCTCCAGCTAAATGCGGACAAAACCGAAATGATTGTCTTTGGTCCCGAGAAACAAAGAGAGACCGTCATTTGTCACCTTCAGTCTCTCTCCCTAAGGCCCTTAAATAAGGTCAGAAATCTGGGAGTAATAATGGACTCTGACTTAAACTTCAATAGCCACATTGGATCGGTAACATCAGCAGCTTTTTATCATCTGAAAAATATTGCCAAAATTAAAAATATTGTGTCCAGGGCAGACTTGGAGATTCTTATCCATTCTTTTGTTTCCAGTAGGCTGGATTACTGCAATGGCCTGCTCACAGGTATCTCCAAACATGCAGTAAGACAGTTGCAGTATATTCAAAATGCTGCAGCCCGAGTCCTGACTAGAACCAGGAAGTACGACCACATTAGTCCGGTCCTCGGGTCTCTGCACTGGCTTCCCGTGGCCCAGAGGATAGACTTTAAAGCAGCTCTCCTGGTGTACAAGTCTCTCCATGGCCTTGCACCAAAGTACATCCATGATATGCTAGTCCCATATGAACCAGCCCGGACTCTGAGGAGCGCAGGGACGGGACTCCTGTTAGTGCCCAGAGTCAGGACTAGACAGGGGGAGGCTGCTTTTCAGATTTATGCAGCTGGAGTCTGGAACGGTCTTCCTGAGGATGTGAGACTGGCTGCCTCTCTGTCAATGTTCAAATCCATGTTAAAGACTTTTCTTTTTTCCCGTGCATACAACTAGAGAATTTTATCTTTTTAACACACCTTGTTATTTATTGTTGTAACTTTTTGTGTTTTTAACTATTTTATTGTTTTTAATTACTTGTGTGATTTTTATGTTTTTAAATTACTTATGTGATTTTAATGCTTTTTAATTACATATGTGTTTTTAATTGTATTTTAATGGTGATGATTTGTGCATTGTGTGGTGTGGACTGTGAGGCGCTTTGTGTTGCCCTGTGCAGGAAAAGCGCCCTATAAATAAAGATTGATTGATTGATTGATTGATATATATGGTATGTATGGTATATATGATGTATATGATATATAATATATAATTAGGTTTGCTTGGATCGGTTTGCACACCTGGTGTGCAATCCATGAATCTCTTTATTCGAGGCTAGGTTTAAAACAGTCCTCTTTAGTTTAGCATATGGCTAGGAAGGTAAGACTCTGGGAAGGCTAAACTCCTCAGAGTGTCAGTCAAGCTGCATAGGGAGTCAGTTTGCTGGCAGAAGTATGGTAACTTGAGCACTATCCTCTCCTCCTTCCTACTTTATCTACTTTATCTGTTTAGCACTTTTAGGATTCTGACTGTAGTTTGTTCATTGCTATTTACCCGTTGTCCCATTGTCTGTTTCATGGTACGATGACGGGATCTCTGAGCCTGGCCTCCTCCATCTGCACCTGCGGACTGCCCCGCCCGACCCGCCTGGGAGTGCTTCGGTCCTGCACCGGACCTGTCCACGTTCAGCGTCCACTGGTCCACGTTCTGTAGCTAGCTTAGGTCCTAGATCATTAGCCTGTCCGTCCGGAGGAGCGGATTCCTTTCTCATATGGGTCTCCCTCCCTGTGGGTTTCCCTAGTTCTCCCCAAGGTTTCTCACTTTTTCCCACTGGGTTTTTTAAGAGTTTTTCCTTGTCGATGCAGGAGGGTCTTGTTGGACAGTTAGTGTCCAACAGAAAGGATTGGTGATGATCAGGACACTTTAGCATTCTACAACATGTATGGACATTTTCTTCTGTGTGTGCTTTATATTCTCCATGTTTTAACTGTTGATTCTCTGACCTGTGTTGGTGATTTCAATGGTTTTGTTAAGTCCTCTGAGATGACTTCTGTTGTGACCTAGGGCTATACAAGAATAAATTGTATTGTATTGTATTGTACTTAAATATGTTGTTCCATATTAAATCAAATGTTATCTTCATGAAAACGAGTCCAGCCCTCCACAATATTCCCATGTCCCAATATGGCTCCCCTGAGAAAATAATTACCCATGTACCCCTGCTCTGTACTGTTCCTGTCCCGTTATGACCCAGGCTTCGACCCCTTGTTGCCAATCCTAAATTATTCTGTGAAACTGGAAAGACTGTTCACTGTGTATTTATCAAAATGTGGATGTAATCAAGTGTATTTTGGTGCAAGAAGCTGAGGTTCCACATGGGTGCACTGGTGCCTCCTGGTGGTGGAGTTTGTGTGGTACAGAACAGTTTTTCCTTTTGTTTGTTTGTAGTGTCTGCAAACAAACAAACATGTCTCCAAAACTTAGTATTAGTAAATTTTTATATTTGAAGAAAACTGAAAAAAAAAAAAAACACTACATTTGATAAACCACTCTTGTTTTGTAGAGATTGGAGTCTGGCATTTCATTTTCTCTACGAAGTTATCAAATCTGTGTCTTTGGTACATTCCGTGGTGTTGCTGGTCATTCATTCATTTATTTCCATCCCCAACCATCCAAGCATTTAATTCTGGGAAGCTAATCTAAATATATAATTGCCATATCACACCAATTTTCCGCATTTGGAAACAAGAATGTAGAGGAGAACAAAACCCCCGGTGAAATAGCTGTTTTCTAGTTGGGGTTGTAGGATCATACTTATT